GAGGCGGTGGCAGGGCGCCCCGCGGGCCTCCTGTCACCGCCTCAGCCACAACCCGCATCCCTTCTCCTCAGCCCCTGCGTGCTGGGGACTGAGGGTCTTAGGAGCAACGGGCTGTTATTTTCCTGCCGTTCCCAGATCGTTCTTGCGGCCCTTAAGAATGAGAGGACTTCACCAAATTTAGCGAATTCCGTAACAGTCGTGTGGCAACAACACCTCGCTTCGCCTGCCCTCCTCCTAGGTGCTGGCCAGGCAGGCTGAAAAGGTGGTTCTTGTCCCCAAGAAAGCTGCCACCTCGGGCAAGCAAGGATAAGAGGAAGCAGACGGAAGCGAGGAGCGCCAAGGAAATAAGAGGACGCGTGCGCCACAATAAAATAGTAGTAATCAAGGAAGCGAGGACTTCAGGAAAAAGCAGCCCTTTGACGTGACAGACAGCTGGCACGTCAAAGAGGATAAGGAGAACCTTGGCTCAGCTTGGGTCAGAAACAGGTCACTGGAGATTTTGGGGGCAGTTGTTCCAGTACGGTGCTGGAAGAGCCGCATTTAAGCCAAATGCTAACCTTGAGGTGAGGGAAGAGGGCTCGCGGGTGGCGTTTGGAAATGGTCTGCTTGGATAGATGGGGAGTGAAAGAAGAATTGGGCGAGTAGCATGATGGGGAAGTCAGGTAGATATTTTCAAGTGGGGGAGGGGGGTTTAGCTTTTTTGTGTTGCATATGAAAACAGCTGTAGGTTAAGCATTGACAGCTGGAATGAAAGTAGGAGCATGGGAGATGAGATAGAGTTGGTAGGGTCTAAGGAAAAGGTTGAAGAAAAAGAGCAGATATAAAATATCAGTGTCCCAGACTGGAGAGGATTATAGAAGATGAAAAGGAAAACAAAGTAAGTAGAAACGAGGAAGGTGGTGGGGTGTTATTTGCTGAGCCTTAGAGTGGTCTGAAGTACTCCTGCCACAGTCTCGTGGTGCTTCCTGTAAGGCATAGCCAAACAGCTTCACTGGCGGTTGCTTGTATACGAACAAAAATGCAGGATGCGTTTACACAAACGGACACTCTACCCTGAGAGGCAGCAACTCTGAAAAAGACTTGGGATCCTAATCAAGTTATCTAAACCCACATTCCCAGGGTGGTGAAAAGGCCAAAAGGGATAATTTGATTAATAGAGGTGTAACCTGAGGAATTCCAGGTAGGAGTTGGGGAAGCTGTATAATTTCCCTGTTTGACACTGGTCTGACCACTGCTGGAAGATTTTACCCAGGTGTACTGTACATAGTGCAGACAGTCTGCTGACAAACTGGAGAGGATTTATGACAGGAAATAGGAGATTGCTTTTCAGAATTGCAGCAATGCTAATAGTTTAGTCTTCTGTGTTTAAACACAGTAACAGTGAACAAGTGTTTTTGTGGGAGGCAGGTTTCTTAATGGGGTCTCAGTCTTGCGGAAAAAGGTGCAACGCACTTCAGCGGCCAGAAGTTTGGCATACTGAATAGGAAACCTGATTATAGATATCTCATTCACCTTAAAATAGTATATCGTAGATGCTGGTAGCTGCGCTGGTCACCCAGAGCTCTTTTTAGAGCAAATAGAAAAAGGCACTTTTAGAGTGTGGTTATTTTACTTTTGGATGAGTTGAATCATTCCATAAACTCTGGACTAGAGCTCCCTTGACTCTGAAAGGGTAACTAGCTCAGATGTTAATACTTGCATTACAGGTGTTACTCTTTCAGTCATTATTATCCTAGGTACTGTGTTTTTGAGAGAAAACTTCATGCAGTTGCTTCTTACCTTCCCCAAAAGGAAGTAGTGCTAATCAGGAGCAAAAGGTCTGTCTGCAACAGATGAGGATCTGGGATCCCTGCAGCCAGGCCTGGCATTGATATTGATAATTTTTCTTCATAAGTGAACCTGAACTTAGCAGATTGTGTCTCTGTGTGCAAATCTCCTAGATTTTTTTTTTTCCCCCTAGGAGGGAAACATCTCACAGAGTGGAAAATGTGTACTTAAATCACTGCAGGAGCAGAAACAAGTCACAAAAGAAAATTTTACTTGGTAAATTTAAATGCATTATTTTTCTTAGTTGTGCCAGGGTAAAGTAGTAGAGATAGCAGACCTGAATAAAGCCTGATTCTGAAAACCGTTGTACTTTTGTCATTAAGGAACTTTTTTATGCCAGCAGTTATGCATGTGGATGGACATACCTAGAATCAGGGTCTTGGTCTAGCTCATTTCTAGTTTACACGAGGCCAACATTCTACAAACTGGACAACAGCTTCTAGTATTG